ACGCCCCATACAAGCCCTCCAAACAAAACTAATGCACTTTATAGGAACTAAGTGAAGCCAAACCATGGGGTTATTTATCAGGATAGTCAATTTACTGTATATGACGGCCCTAAGATCGTATACACGGAAAGAGCTATCGATAGTTAACCTTGATCTCCAAGTGTCAGGCCCATTGGATCTCATAACCATCCTTGTAACATCCAAAATAGATTTCAATTCCAGTAGCTCCTGAGAATTGTTGGGTTTCCGCTTCCAAGCCCACGAAAAAACACCATTCACCTATCTGTCACCTAAAAGGCAAGTTTTCCTCTTGTCTAACACATATAAAGAAGGGAACTGCCAAAGTCCTGTCTTTAGCCAATCATCTAGCCAAAACAAAATTTTCTTTCCGTTCCCCCCACCTGAAATTCAAAAATATCTGAAACATCAATATCAATATTGCCAAGTGTCGAGAAAACATTGACAATACTACTCCAAGTGCCCGGGATAGATTTTTTAGCCCAAGAGTGTCGAGAAAACATTGACAATTTTGCCAAGTGTCGAGAAAACATTGACAATACTACTCCAAAACGGAAAATAAACTTCCTTTCACATCTATTAATACTACCAATCACTTGCCTCCAAAGATAGTCATTTTCCGTTTTAAACCTCCATATCCATTTTGTCAGGAGAGCCCAGTCAAGCGAGGCCAAGGATCCGATCCCGAGCCCACCAGGCGATTTTGGCCCAAGTACCACCTTCCAAGCGACCCAATTGATTTTTTGTTTTTCTCCACTTCCTCCCCATAAGAACAGTCTTCTCAGTTTCTCGAGGTTATCAATAATGGAAATTGGGGCTTTAAAAATGGAAAAATAAAAAAGAGAGAGACTACCAAAGACAACTTTAACCAAAGTTAGGCGACCACCAAAGGATAACGTTTTAGCTTTCCATAAAGAAAGTTTATTTTGAACACGATCAATGACGGATTGCCAGCTCCTTTTTTGGGACATATTTGCTCCAACAGGGACTCCAAGATATTTAAAAGGAAGAGAGGCCGCCTCACAACTGAGAATTCTAGCGCAACTAGCAATTTCATTCTCAGAAACTCCAATGCCATAAACTTTGGATTTATGAAAATTGACTTTGAGCCCCGAAGATGCATGAAAGCATCTCAAAATTCTTGCCAAGTTTATGAAGTTAGAGCTTGTCAAATCTCCAACAAACATGGCGTCATTTGCATAAAACAAATGAGAAATTGTAGGGCCTCCGTTAGGCGTTTCAGTCCCATGAAATAAAGAATGGTCGCATGACGACATTTAATCCTTCCATAGCAATTATAAACAAGGAGATAGAGGATCCCCTTGCCGAACCCCTTTGGTAATTGGAAACTCTTTTGTGCCAGAACCATTAAGGAGAATAGATGATCGAGAAGACGAGAGACAACCTTTTATCCAAAATACTCATTTATCTCCAAATCTCATTTGTTTCATGATCGATTCCAAATACTTCCAATTAATAGAATCAAAAGCTTTGTCGAAATCTACTTTAAAGATGAATGTTTTCCATTTAGATTTTTTAGCCCAAGCACATAGTTCATCAGCAATCATCGGCCCGTCAAAAGACATATTGAAACATGTTTGATAGCAAACATGCGAGTTTTCATCAATCTTAGATCCAAAATGATCCATTTCGGATTACATGATTAAATATGTGAAAGGGAAAACACTTATTCATTTTTGGTAATCCCAATAAATCATCTAGTCATTTTGTTCATTTCCACTCACGATGAAATTTACCAAAATTAATTTTGAAGAAATTGATGGAATGGATTTGTCGGTGACAACTAAATTTGCCATCAAATGGAATCTTAGAATTCTAATTTTGTCGGTAACAACAAACTCTTGAAGTTTTCTTGTGATATTGTACTACTAGGAAGGAAGCTTGTATCACATAGGTGGAAAAAATCGTTGTGTTGTACTCTTTTCTTACTTATCAAAATGGGTTATAATAAGTGCCTTATTTGGGATTTGATATATTGGTGTGTTGATTAGTAGTGAGGGTCAGGTTCAAACGAGGACCATAAGACCATTTGGTATGGTCATCACGAGTCCTCTCGTGGTCTATGTGGCCACTAACCATAGATATGAACACCATCCACTCAGTGGTAGACAAACTTTCGTGGTCAATTGTGGTGGGGAGCACGAACCACACATCCACTCAGTTTGTTTCTCGTTGTATTTCTCTCTATTTCTCTCTACCTTTCTCCACCTCTCTCTACAATTTAAGAATCTCACTTTTTAGTGGTAGTTAGTGGTGATGATGTGTCACCCACCACTATAATGATAAGTAAATATTAAAACCATTCGTAACTAATAACGCTTCAAATCCCCAAAATTACTCATTTAGTTATGGAAGGTAGTTAATATTCTTAGAATTAATCTCCTTAAAATCCGTAAAATGATTCTAACATTTTCATAAGGATTTTGGGACCGTTAGAATCATTTGTAGCGGTCGATAAAGAATAATCAACGAATGAGATTGAATATGACGAGATTTAATCACGATTCAAGTTTCTAAAATTCTCATTTAATAATGAAAGGTAGTTAATCTCCTTAGAATTAATCTTGTCCCTTGATCTTAATGGTTACAGTTGGTTCTAAATTTCTCACCGTACATATATTTATGGTTGTCACAAGATCCCAAAATCTAGCAGTGGGTTCCTATATATTTTACAAACATATTAATTTGGATCTCCTAAATTGGAAAATTAATGGTTAGATTTCATTTCAATAATAATTTAAGAGTAAGCTACATAAATTGCCATTGGGACTTAGGGTAATTTGAACGTTTGGTTCTTAGCGTGCAAATATTTAATTTCTTAACTAGAAGAAGTAAGTGAAATATATATTGCAAAATATATTCTTATTTGGAAGATTCTTCTTCAACTTAAGAAATTGATTCATCTCTATCTCAACCACCTTCGCCTTCACCTCTTCTTTTTCTTTGCAGAACCACCGAATCAGAAACGAAATCGACGAAGGGTATGTTTGATGAAGGGTTTGAGGATTTTCAGAAACAAAAACAAGATCCTCTCTCTCTCTCTCTCCTATTTCTTTCTCATTCTCTCCCCGTCACCTCTGATTTAGACCCTTTAAACAAAACCATAAACAAAATTGATGAAGGGTGTGTTCAATGAAGGGTTTCATGGTTTTCAAAAACGAAAACCCTTGAGATTCAGACCTAAATTGGTTTGTGTGTGTGTAATTGAGTGTGTGTATGTATGTTGAAGAACAAACCCATAAATCCCGAGTGTCTGTTCTTGAATGTATTTTGATAAACAAACCTAAAAATATGGAGTGTGTGTTGAAATTCAAACCAAGAAATTTGGAGTGTATGTTCTTGTGTGTGTGTAAGTGTTGAAGACCAAACCCATGAACACGGAGTGCGTGTCTTTATGAACAAAATACATAAATATCTAAACAAATTTCTAAATATATTAAAACTAAACAAAAGATAAGTTTAAAATAAATTAAAATGGTAAAAATGTCTATTTATAAGGGTTAAGGACACAACAAATAAAAAATAAAACCATAGAAAACAACCTCTTAGACATGCCGTAGTTGTCCTTAACCACCTATTTTTGACAAACTATAGAGACCAAGAGTAATTTTGTCCGAAGTTTATTTATTTCTTGTAATTTTAGATAAAGATAAGTATAATTTTGACGCCGATTAACCGTCATCAACATTTATGTAAACCGCACAAACAAGTGTATGAAAAGGTTATAAAAAGACACGAACATCAAGTTTTTTTTTATATATTTTTTCATACAAAACATACCATCTAATCCATTTTCCCTAGTTTTTCTTATGGAAGCATAAAGTAATTTATCGAACTCCAGTTCTCGTATACATAGAACTTGAATTAGATGATTATATCTTTGAGATAGACATTTGATATAATCACATAATATGAACAAAATTCTATCTTATGACATTGCATTCCATATGCCTTTAACTGTTTCTTATATCTATATTTCATATCAAGTAAGTTTTATGTACTTATAAAAATAGCAATTTTAATTAATTTTCTATAATTAGTAGATATTATAGCGTTTTGTAACTTGGGTTCTAACAAAACCAATATCACGTTTTGGACTTCATTCTTAATTTACTTTGTGATCAAGTCGTTCATTTTATTTTGTTTTACATTAAGCTTCTTTAACTTAAGAGTGATTTGAAAAGACCCTTTGACTATTTAGTTTTTGTTTCTCTATAAGTTTGACCAGATAATTGGATTGGATCACAAAAAGGCACCATTTTTTTATGGCTAAATGTTACAAGAGGGCATCAAAATCAGAATATTTTGTGTAATAGGATCTTGACAAGATATTATTAATTAATTTAAAAATATAGAAATTTTTATATCTGTGGAAGGCAGTAGACAAATTTAATGCGACTACTTAATATGTATTTAATATCCAATCTTTATCTACGTATCCTAATACTTCCAGTAGAATATTATTTAAACAGTTTTGATTAAATATAAAGTTTGATGAAGATAATTACTTATTTTTAAATAAGAGATGATTTATATAGCGAATGACAAATGTATTTAGTGAAGATGGTGGCCATGTTACATATTACACGTCATCATCAATATACCTTTTTAAAACATCATGTATTGTATCTACTTATTATACGCTATATTTTTCTAAACCTTTTGATAAATTTTAGTAAAAAACGAACAATATATTAGAAATTTCGGATTTATTTGTGGATTTTAGACTTGTTTTTAATATTTTAAAATAACTTTTAATTTTTTTATCTTTCTAATCCATAACCTGGAATCTAAAATTCAAAATGTCAGCTCCACTTTTATTAATCAGAAAAAAAAAATACTTTAAAATGTATGAAAATTACACTTTTAGAACAAAAAATTTCCAAAACACAAAAAATTAATCACTTTTACTAAACACTTCACTTATAATGGTCAATTTTGTTAATATCTTTTAGTTAATGAATTTTGATTGGAAATTGTTTATGTTTTTTTAATAAATCTTGAAAGAAAATACAAAGACATGGACAATATACGCCAATTATTGGCTTTACTCATACTACAAAACCATTTAACATTTCTCAAATCTTATAAAACCTTTTCCTCTCTCTAATTTCACAAATTCATCAACTGCCATGGACGCCGCCGCCACCGCCACCGCCACCGCCGCCGGTGAATCTAGCACACCAGCAATCCCCATCCTCAGACGACGGAACTCCACCGGGTCACCAACTGTAGATATAAAACCCTACCACTCTTCTTCCACCTCTTCCATCGCCACCACCTCCACCACCTCCTCCTCCTCATCTTCTTCTTCTTCTTCAGTGGATTTTGAGCTGGTCGCGATCAAACCCACTTGTTATACTTCCCTCCGGGATATACTTCCATCGCCGACATCCTTCGTCCAGTCCCCTAAAGCTGCATGCTCCGCCGTCCATTCGGGTTATGAAATCTCGATAAAGAATCACCTTGTGAAACAGGCAGCATGGGCTTACCTTCAACCCATGTCCACCTTTCCTGAAGCCGACGGAACCACCGTTCTCCACCGCTTCTGGATTCAGTTCTCCACTGCTGTCCTCAGTCTCATAACCGCAGCCTTCGATTGCCTCCTCCAAGCCGGAACCACCGCCTCCAAATTATAACACTTACAGAAGGTAACAGAATTGTAAAACACCCACCACAATTTCGCTTTGATTTTCTCAATTTGTAGAAACAAAAAAAGAAATCAATTGAATGAATGAAAATCAAAATCAGATTACAACTTTCTTTGTTCTTGCGTTTCTTTACAATTTGTACATCCGTCCACCACTTCTATTCTACCGATCAAAGTCCCCTCGATCGTCTAAATCTTAGCCAAACGGGTTCTCTTTGACCCGAATTCGACCCGGATCTACTCGGCGATGGTGGAAGGTGAAGTTCCTCCGCGTACACAGGGTGGTGACGGCTGCTATTTGGCGTCGACGGAGCAGGCGGCGCAGTCGGCACCCACCTTTCTTCAGCCGGTTCTGACCGGAAAAAAGACGCCGGAGTAGCCGGAGGCGGCGGAGGACGTCCCTCCCCGGAGTTCCCCTGATTTTGAAACAACACCTACACAATACAAACAATCGCATATTCAATTCCACCATTTCCATGAAACGGATTGCACGATTCCAGCATTGCAATGGAATGGAATTGATCAATGGAATGCACAATTCCAACTAATAGAAAGAAGATGATACCTCAGGTCTTGAAGAAGGTTTATCGACCAAATACTGAAATATCTCAAAGATTTTAGTTTGACCTAATTCAGTCGAATTGTGCCAATAATAAATTGCCACGTCCCATGCTTTGGATCTCAATTCCTTTAAACTTCTTTCTATATCTGTCTCATGTCTTTCCACAAATGGTCTTAACATTGCTTCATATACATACCAAGTTCCCTGAAAAAGTCAAAAACCCCAAAACTTTCCTTTTTTAGTATATACCCAATTACCCATATCAAGACCACAAATGATGCAACTCTATAATATAGTACAATTTCAAATGCATAAAGTACAAGCATATACACATATATACCTTAGTTTTAGGATACCATAAATAGATGATGAGTGCTAGCTTCATCTCTCCATACATTGGCACCCTATAAAAGTTTCATATTTCATCACAAAATTAATTATTTTTCCCATGGATATAAAGGGCTTGTTTGATTCATGGATTTTGATGGAATTGGAATGTGTGATTACATTCCATTATTGTTAAGGGAATGAAATTGGATTCTTTTAAATTCCATGTTTGATGGATTTTAATAATTCATAGTGGGTGGAAAGAATCAAATTACATTCTTCCTTTTTGATCAAAAGACAAGAAACCTTCGTTATTTTATAGAGTTAAATACATAAACGGCTCTATATATTAAGTTTTTTTGGATTAAACCATCAACTTTATTTTATTTTTATTTTCTAAAAAACCTTAAAAGTTTTCCTTTTTTTGATTTGGTCCTTATATTTTTTTCATTTTCTTAGACTAAACCTCAACTTTTCTTTTTCTTCCTAGAAATACATTTTACATATTTGTAGAAATAGAAGATTACCGATAAACCAACTAAAATGACAAAAAAAAAGGTCTTTTATATAATTAACGCTTAAATATATTGAAATGAATAAAAATTAATAAGAACTTAGTTTTTTATTAGTGAATTTTATTTCGTTTTTGCCAACAAAACGCATGACATATTGCAATTCATTTGAATTATTTTTAATTTCTTTGACAGATTTCATTCTTTTCAAAACTTTACGCGAATAGTTCAAAAAAAAACGTACCATGAGATGAATATATCACCGATCCTTTCAAACACTGTGAGTATTGCGACAATTACCCTGAAAAAAAAATCAAAATAATTAATCAATATGTAACAAACAAGCCACTAGATCAAGTTGTTGCATCAAGAGAAGAAACACTAAAAACCATTGAGTGAAAGCTACAAAATCTTTTTGGTGCAAAAAGATTGATTTCTTGTGAAAATAAATAACTATGTATAAAAAGATTGTTATTTCTTGCCACAAGATAAAGACTTCACTTGAAGCAAACATGTTCCATGTGAATGTGATTTTACATCATCATTATTATTACTCAAAACCACTCCTAGAGCATGACTCAAGTGGGCCCTTTTTTTTTACAAAACTAAAAGTAAATTGACATCTTGTACTTTAAGGGATATATGAAAACACGTAACACATATGATTTTCGTGTGATAAATTATTTTTTATCCAATTAGCCGATGAAAGAATAAAAAATAGTTTCGTTAGCTGATAATATTAGTTATCAGCTAACGAATATCAGGCATCGAGGTATCGTTTTCGTAATGTAAAAGTAAAATGACAAATGAGAAATGACACCCATAAAATAAAAGAAAGATTATTTTGCTTCAAGGAATTTATAAAAAACTATTGGTTGATTAGGACATGAAGAAGCAACTCAAACCCAATCATAACAAAACACATGTCTCTTTCAATAATTAGAACAAAATGTCTCTTGGAAACCTTATTATTATTACTTCTCAAAATCATCCAATGTTCTTCGGTGGCTTGATCATGAATGTTTTTTTTTTTTTTTTTAAAACTCGAATGCTTCAAAATTATCTAAATTCAACATGTTCCATTATCATGAATAGCTAAATTTGTCTATCAATTTGACCTTTCATGAACAGAGTAGTTGACCAAACACCCAATTAGGTCAACTTCTTATGATTGAGACTGAAGAGGATAGAAATGAGAAGACTAACCAATATTGACACCAAAATCTTAATTCTCCATTTTCAACTCCATGTTTCTCGATTGTTTTAAAGCACTCAAAAGCTGGATACGCATATCCAAGAATTAACCTGTAGAAATAACAAAAAATGGAAGTCAAACAGTAAAATTTCGCAATTCCTCTGTATCCAAACACCAATTTCCCCCAAATTAAACCCGATATTGATATTGATGTATGAAAGCGACTTACATAAGACAGTTTGTGATGAGTTCTCCCAACATCTTGTTCTAATTTTTGGATTGTCGCCACAACTGTAAGCTAAATTCACTGTAGAGACAGCGATCATTATAAGTTTTCAAGAAATTCATGAAGATCGATTCAAAAAGAGCTAATTCGATTCAAACCAAGTCAATTTACAGTAATAAATTTACTAAGTAAAAGTGAAAAATCAATACAGTCAGCTGGAATAATTCTTTTTACTTCAAATCTTTATAGAAAGCAAGCGACCTAGAAAACCCCAAAATCTGAATCGAATCGAATCGATTCACAATCAACATCTCAATCAATCGGTTTTTAAATTCCAAAGCCCTCAATCAGAAACAGAAACTGAAACCCACTTTCATAGTGAGATAGAAAAGAATCTATAGGGAATCATGGAGCGCATTACCTTAGTAAGAAATGAAAAAGATCTTTGCTTGTTGCTTGGATTTTGAAGAAAATTAATGGGTGTTACGAAATCAATCCGAGAAACTTAAAAATGGAGGAAATTTGTTGAAGAAGATGGCGTTTATTATATAAGCATAAATATGTATGTGATGTGTATATTTATAAAAGGAGAGAAAGCGGTTGGGAGGTGGGGTTTACTTGCCTCCAACGCCTCCTTCTCCCTTCTTCTTCCCTTTTGTTCCTTTTACATAATTCCTTATGCTTATTTGGAAAATATATATGATATAAAATAATCAAATTAAACATTATAATTTATTTTTTGAAGTATAATATTTCATGAAAACTAAGAAGATGAATTACAAAAAAAAATAAAAAGGATTTGAATGCAATCAAAAAGTTTTAACCCAACGGTATTAAGTGTCTCACTCCTTGAAATCGAATGTTCAAATATATATATATATATTATATATATATATATATATATATATATATATATATATATATATATATGAGAAGATTATGATAAACGAAAAGTTTAAAACATGTATTAGTATTCATGCTGAGTTATGAAAGTATGATATTATGATGCATAATGCTTAATAAGTATTTAATTGAAGGAAAGATAGGCGATCTATAATCAAAAGTGTAATTGGTCGGCTATTAGTATGTAACTAATGGTCATAATTACAAAATTTAAAGTTTTGTGGAGTTATAGTTGACAATCCTTTTAGCGGTGGTTGGTTGAAATGCTAATTGCTAAAGTTTGAAAAGTTTTCAAGATCGGGTCAAATTCGTGAACTCGTTGAATTTTGCAAGAGTTGAACCCTTCCATGTTTTAGTAATCGGGTAAATTAGATAAGTTGTAATCATTTGAAATGATTAATATAAACACAAGGATTTTTAATAAAATATGAGTTTGACTCATAAATACTTATCATTGTCATGCAATTTATAGATAAAACTGGTTTTTTTTTGTTGCAATTACTTTTTACTATATACATGTTTAATCAAGATCATATATAAACCTCTTGTTATTCAGCATAATCGCATACTTAAAAGTTGCAACAAAATGACCATTAATTCAGCGAATTCACGATCTCGTTTTCCAAAAGATTTAATCTCCCGATTTAACAATTTTCAACATTACATGATATATTAGACTTATTGTTGAATGACATGGAATCAAAAATTAGTAAAGAATAATTAGTTTATAAGAGCATACGATTTGGGCATAAATTTGCTCATTATGACCGACGTTGGAAGGTCATAATAACGTTGGAAGGCCCAAACACACAACCAAACACAACATCGCTTCTTGGATTTGCGGGCTGCAAAAATTATTTCGATTTTTTATCGTCTCAAGAATCACTACAAATCTCATACCAATGAACCGCTTTCAATCCCGCTTCACCACTAATGCAATTTTCTAACTCACCTTACCTTCAACAAAATGTATTTCGTCAAAACCCAAATTTACAACAAAATATTCTCCATACTTTCGCTTCGATGCAACAAACAACCACTCAACCACCACCTCCAACACAACCATCAGTTGAAGTGGAAGCGAGAGGTAGTAAGAGAGAGAAAGGGAAAGGAAAAACGTAAGGGAAATCGATAGCGGTTGAAACGGAAAATGCAGACGTTCCACAATGGGGACACCAGAGGAGGAATATGCTTTGACGGCGTCATGATCTACTACTTCAAAAGACGAACTCTGCGGAAATGGAATGAAGAAAGGTGCTTATTACGGGGCGGTGCATGAAAAATTCCACGCTATGTTGAAGAAAAAACCGTATCGTAATAATGATATGTTAAGCAACAAATGGAGTCAAATAACTAAACGGTGCAACAAATTCAACGGTATTTACAACTGGCTTGAGGTGCAACAACAAATCGGAACCAAAGACTTCGATTTGTTCAAATTTGCAAAAGAACAACATTGGGTTACAATTGATCCGAAAATGGCTTTTACCTCCTCACCATATGACCATATTCTTGCATAATTTTCAGCTATTGTGCCTTCAGCTAGATTCAATGCATACTTCTTGACTCTCCTACACTGACTCATACTCACATTAATCCCAAAAGCGGTTTTTACCTCCTCTCTAAGAAATCAGACGCTCATCTTTTGATTGTTACAAAATTGGTGCTTAAAGTGGGTCCCTATCCATTTGTAAGTCACAATTGATCCGAATTTGAATATTTTTTGCACAATTATGCTCACCGATAAGAGACTTTATCTGGAAAGACTTATCATCACTCATCCAAGAACCCCAAAGCCTAAAAGTACATTTTCCATCACAACATTTGACAAGTAATCGTCTAGTATCATTCTTAACAAAACATAATTGATAACCATTTGCGACAACATAGTTACAAAGCATGTGTTTCAATTGCTTAGGACTCTCAAACCTCATACCTAAAACAGGTTCCTGCTCCTTCCAATTGAGCTTATCATTGAAAATATTTGGCAATTCGGGATAAACATCTTCATTGTCACCCATGTCTTCTTCGAAAGACTCACCTACACCTGCTTTCTTACCCATGTCTACTTGAATCTCATTATCCTTTATAAAAAAAAAATGAGGCTTCTTATGGTCATCCTCATCGTCATCGACATCCTCATCCTCGTCGTCATCATCGTCGCCATTCTCTTCCTCATCGTGAATGTCACCCACATCCCGATGCCCTGTTGCAACTTCCTTAACCAGTCTTGCACCATCAAGTACTTCTTCCTGTACGTTACCAACAAACTCGTCTCTATGTTCATCCAATCATTCCTGTATGTTACTATTCCCAAAATGGTCTACATACATAGGAAGTATAACACCACATTCATATGTAATTGCTATAAAGTCGTAATAATCGGGGTCATTGCAAATTAGAGTCAAACCTTTTGGAAAATCAATATCAGGTTGACAGTAATAGAGCTTCTCACACTTTTCCCCAGTGAACCTTTCGATGAACGCAACACACCCATCCTTGTCCATTCCTGCGAAATCGATGTCCGAAAACCTTTGAGTAATTCCACCGGTGTAGCGTATGGGGTTTCTGGGGAACATTCCTTGGAAGTGGACATCTACTTGTAAGAATTCAGGTTCCATGCTTGAGGATTCAAAAGCAGCTCACAAAAAAGGGTTTATCGATGAAGTGCTGAACAGTGGAGGTAAAAGGGCTCTTTTATAAAGAATATACCGACAGTAAGAAGGAAACGACTAATTAATGACATGACATTAGACGAAAGTCACAGTCAGCATCCGATGTGGTGTTAGTAGAAGGAGGTGGACTAAAAATGACTGGCTAACCCCTTCATAATTGAAATAAGGACTTAATCGACCCGAAAAAGAGTAATTCATTACCTTATTAAGCCACAAAATAAGTTAGGTGGCTAAATGGGTAAGCCCTAAATACATTATAGGGTCTATACGTCATTTTCCCATTACACAACTACCCAAGATACTATACTTTTATACATACATGATCCCTAATTACAAAAGTAATATTATAACTATTCTAAACCTTCCAAAAGTATATGACTATATTGGTTACTTATCTCCTGCAATTTGTTAAACATTAAGAGGGGTAAGCGGTGTCGCTTAGTGGGTTCAATAATAAATACAATATAACGTTATGCCATATGTGTATATATATATATATATATATATATATATATATATCACACACACACACACGTTAATATGGAAGAAACAAAGAGGAACAAGGAACAATAAAGGCAAATGTGAATCATGTGATAAGCTTTCCATATCAATCAATGATTTGATTCAAAGATATACAATCAATGGGATACAACAATTTCCATACTTGATATACATCAATAAGACTTCAGCCCAAATGACATAGAAGACATACAATTTTTGATTAAACATTTTGGTAGATTTCATGCTTTTAGCTCTATCCAACCTTTTGCCAATGTCATAGGGGTAGAAGTCATTCTCTTGCGAGATATGCTCTACACGGACAGAGGCTACATACCAATACCACTGTGAATATAAGTTCTTTCACTGATCACATGGCCAAAGGTACAACTTTGCTATCATAAATAGCAGAAATAATAACAACAGAAAGGCATATAACACATATAACACATAACATACAATTGTTCCTATATATTGAACTCACCGTGAATTAATCGGGGGGTTAAAATAGTAATTTATGCAACACATCGTTATAATAAATAACTTTCTTGGTTGAAAACCGGGAGCTTTATTGAAAACCGAGCCTTGCGAGGGTTGAGCTTCAAAACCGAAAAGATAAATTTTTCGGGGTATTCGGGCACTTCGGAACGTATTTAAGATGTTTGGTATGATCCCGACGCTTCGGGGGATTAAAAGTTGCTTGAAATCGAGTTTAGAGGTGAAAAAGTGCCAATCTCTAAAAATTAGCCGGGAGGTCTCGCACCCTTTATATAGGTGCGAGCCTCGGATCCGAAGCGAGAGGAAGGGGCAGGTGGCACGTTTTGGACTTGACACAAAGATGGCACGTGTGACAACCCGAAGTTTTTCCAGCATCGTAACCCTTTCCGCCCGTAAAACCTGTCTTTAGCAATTTGTTCCGTTTTCGTTTTTGGGCTAAGTTATTTAAATTTATATGTTTATTATAATCTCATGAGTGTCCAAACTCCCTAGAAACTCACGTAAACGGCCCAAATTATTAATTTAAAATTTTATAAAGTTTGTCCCGCCGGGTTACGACAACTTAATCGGGTGCGACCAAAAGCCCCGTTTAACGTCGGTATTGTTGGATTAGTGTCTAAATCCATAACTATTTTGGTATGTACTTGACCCGATGGTGCATGGTCCTTTTGGGTTGCCTTCACCAAAGCAACTTGATAGGATGAATTATGGAGAGTAAGGATTAAATATGATTTATTAATCTATTATGGGAATAATATATTAAAGGAGAAATCATATTGTTTAATTAATATTAGTCAATAATTAATTGGTAATTAGTTTTGTGACTAAAAGAAATTAATTAAACTTAAGGGACTGGAATTGTAATTATAAGATAATTGGAATTTGGGCTATGGATTGCCTTATATTAAGGGATGGACGAATTCTAATGGGAAACCCATAAGGAAATCGTCCATGGGCTTGATAAAAGGAGTCTATGGGTTGCTTAGGGCTTAAGCATCCAAATTAGGGTTTCCTTGTTAGATAACCCTAATAGCCCAACTATATAAAGACCCCTTAAGGCTAAAAACGTGGCTAATGTTCTTGTAAGGGTTTACACACGTTTTTGGCAGCCTCCAACCTCTCTCCTCTTCATCCTCTTGCTTATGGTGTTTGTGAACCATTAGAGGAGTGACACTTGTGACTCTAAGCCTTCCAAAGTCAATTCAAGGAGGAATTGGGATTGTTATTGCTACATAACAATCAAGGTATGATCTTAAACCTAATTACATATTAATATGATTACTTGTATGCTAGAATTAGGGTTTATAGTCTTGGATTCAAAGCATGTACAATAGAGAAACCTAGATCCAAGCATTAGGGTTTGTATGAGCACATAGGATGTCTTATGACCAAAACCCATCAGTGGTATCAGAGCCTAGCTTGGTTTCAATTGTATTGATGCATTGTATAACTGAAAAATTCGATTTTTTGGATTGTGGAGGCTGGACTCGCCGAGTCCATGGCTGAACTCGCCGAGTCCATGCAGACTCGACGAGTCCATGCCTGACTCGACGAGTCAACTCGTCAGATAATGCTTATCTCGGGATTTCTTGCTGTTTTTGCATATGGATAGTTACCTTATCATGTTAGATCAATATAAATCCGATTTTATGATATATATGACTATATTCTTGATCTAATTAAAGATAATTATCAATTAACAAGATAATTGTTTCCTTATAAGATAATTGATTAATTATTTTGAGTAAATTGATAAATTGTTTTGCAAGAAATCATTAAACAAATCAAATATGGATAATTATGTATTAAATGTTAGTTTAGATTATTTGTTATTTGATCCTTGTTGTTATGAAAGTTTCATATTTTCCCCTTTAGGTTTTATAGTTTAAATTTGAACCCAAAAGTTTTGAGTTTTGAAATTTAAATAGTTAAAACCCTAATGTTTTGAAAAAGGTTTCAAAACTTGCCCTCAAGTTTTGGAATTTAAAAGTTGATTAAAGTTTAATTAGAAATGTTAAATTCTAAAACCCTAGTAATGTTTTGAAAAGTTCAAATCACACCCTTATGGTTTTATTAATTAATTAAGGAGTATAATTAAAAGAGATTTAATAAATCCATAAAGTTTAGGTTAACCTTTAATTGAATTAAAAGTGTAATTGTTAAAGTTAACCATATAGTATTTTAAAAGTATAAAATACACCCTATACTATATATAACATTAAAAGTCTAACATTATATATATGTATGAGTAAAAGTCAGTCTTACCGTTAGTAGGCCTCATTCACGAAGCTGGTCTATAAGGGGTGTTTAAGGAAATTGCCTATAAAATGGCGATTGAATGGGTATCCACTCTTACCCACCGCACTCTTGACTAGTGGAGGGTCGTTAGCCGAACGGGTAGGATAGGACGAAACCTTCCATTATAAGTATAATGAAATACAAAGTAACTAAATGTTTTTCAAATTCCCAATCTTAGTTACTTAGGCAAAAGTGAATTGATGCAATTCCATGAAATTACACTTTGTGCCCTTGCGAAGACGTTAGTGGAGCGTGTGTGGTTTACCGGCACACTAAATGGTTCTAAGCAAAGGTAGCAAAGGGTGACTCAATGTTTGTCATAGTTCGGTGGAGCGTGTGTGGTTTACCGGCACATCGAATAGGTGATTGTAACATGTGAGGGCACCATGTAGTTTGCATGGTTATTCACACCCGCTTTGTGATCCTCGGCATCCCAGTCACAAACAAGAGGGGCATATCGAGATTTAAACATGCCATTGAAATGTTCAATGAATCTCAAAGGATCTAGGAGTTTTCATAGATTTAAAACTTAAATTTCTTTTTCGTTTTTCATGGTGGAAATTAGTGAATCGTCATTCACTTACCTTCAAATGTTCTGCAATTTGGGTTACGGCATCCCTCTCCCGAGTTGTAGGATATTGTGTTGGGTCCTAGCCTTGGAATTTCATTTGGGTGATTTACCAAGGACTCAATCAATCAACTAACTTGAATTCGTTTTTCTCCCGATGTCAAAGTTCGACAACTATGGTCTTCTCAAATCCCGTGGAACAAGCATTCCACATGAAGATGATATTCCACGATTCGATCGAGGAACAAGAAATCATGCTTCACTTCCTCCTCCTCCTCCAATTATTCTCCCTAACCCACAAGATTGTAAAATTGAAAGGTTCAATATCACTCAAGCCCTTTTGGCAAGTAAACATAAAGAGGGCAAGTCGGTGTGTGCACACGTCTTAGGGATGAAGTCACACATTGATAGATTAAGAATGATGGATCCGTTGTCGTGAAGCGATGGCTGTTGATTGGGTTCTTCAGTCACTTCCTAACTCATATAGTGAGTTCGTAAGAGAGTACTATATGATGAACCGCGACGTGACCCTTATAGATCTCACCTATATGCTTATTGCTGCTGAATCAGCAATGGTTTGGCGCAATAGAAAAGCAAAGTTGATTGGTGAATCTGCCTTCAAGACCTCTATGGATATAGACAATGGCAATGAAAGACATGCAATGATCGAAAAGTTTGATCATAAGAGAAAGGCGATGTCTGAAGTAGTTCCATGTGTTGTTCCAAAAGAGTCAATTTGCTTTTATTGCCAAGAGAAGGGGCATTGGAGACGAAGTTGCCCTATTTACCTAAGAGATCTAAGAGATGGGAGAGTCAAAAGTATGACTACGCTTTAGGTAAGAATCCACTATCTAACTCCATTAAGTTCCTATTCATTGATTCTTAATACATGATGTGATAAGATTGCATTTGAATGTTTTGAAGGATCGGTGAAAAGAAAGGAAGCTTGATAAGAGAGCAAGATGAATCTAATCACAAGAGATGGATCTCGATCTCATGGACTTGAAGATTGGATTTTGAGCTTAGATAGTTATGATAGAGTTGTTAGAAATTTTCTTTTACATAGTTTTCAATAGATTTTGCA